AGATATGTCTATCTCGTATTGGCCTTATTAGCCACCAGCGTGCTTGTAACAAATGTGGATAGAGCCTTTCCCAAATCTTCGTTCGCGAAGCCCAGCCATGATGAGGATGATGATGATGATGAAGAATCTCCACAGACATCCAAGTTCAGGGAGTGGGGTTTTGTTTGGTTGTTTACTTCCTTCGAAAGTCTCTCTCTCACATGTGCAAAGTGTAATTTAAAATACTCAGACCTACATAGTTATCTCAGCTCTTGCCCTGCTACCACTGCTTAGTCTTAATTCACCCCAGTGTCTCAGCCCAGGCAAGCAGGAAGTTGAAGGCTCTCACTATCACCAACCTGAAGAGGAAGGAAACTGCAAAACCTCAGAGCCCAAAAGACAAACACATTACTAACTGAACAACCCATTCTTCCCCAATGGCAATTATTCTATTTTCTACATCAGTGAACTCCTGCACCGTAACACAAATTCACCCAAAAGGGAATTTACCCTTCTAATTTCTAGACACACAAAGAACAAAAGGTATTTATAGCGTTTACGTAGGCAAAGGTAAGATCCAAAACTAAGGTTGTTCTCCCAAAGCAAGATCAGAAGATCATGAAAAATGTTTCATAGATCTGGGCCAGGAAGTCCATATCATTATGAGCTTTTTATTTGGCCAACATGTAAACAGTTTCAAATGAAACACATTCATTTCCTGAATCTTATACGGGAATTCCCAGGACAGACACCAAAGAATTTTGCACAGCTTCCAACAGGATTCTTCCTAGGTGATCTACCATAAAAAAAATTAGGGTTATAACAGCCATGACTTGGAAGCAGAAGCATAAGAATTCTGCTCATCTCCACACAACATAAAGAACTGCTAGAAGGTCTCCATGTGCACCTCTGAGGCAGCAGCTCAGGTCAGTCCATGTGCACCATTTAAAGCAAAACCAAGAGTGAAGTGTTTTTACATCATCTAACACAAACTCAGTTACAACAACTCAATCACAACTGTCACTGCAAGGTACCTTTCTAGTTTCTACCCCACACCAGAGTCATATGCAATCTAGCAGAGGACAAACATATCTAGTGCCCAACCAGTATCTACCAAGTCTTCATCAAATCTCTAATCTTAGATTAACCCATCCTGCACTCCTTCTACCAACTATAAGTGGAAATTCAGGTAAACAAACATTTTTCAAACATCTAGGGGAAGCCAACCAGCACCTACCACTCCCCACAGTGCACAGCCTTCAACACTCCCACAGCAGCTGTAGTCTGTCGTTCAAAGCCTTGTCCTATGTGATCTGCATGGGCTCGTGTCCGGTCTTCAAATAGCATTTCACGGGGTTCACTGGTTCGAGGTAGGTACTGCAAGTTTTTTATTTCATTGGTAGTTCTGTGTAAGAAAAAACAGTAACAGTGATACAGAAATTTCTCTGAATCATCTTATTTCCACCATAGCCAACAGGATTGGTTTTCTCCCTTCAGTGAGAACATAGGAGTTAAATGAGAAAAACAGTAACTGTTAAGACAAATTAAAAATGTAATGAGCTATGCAAAGAATCAGAACACCTGTTTCAAATTAAAAAAAAAATCAAAATAAGGACAAAAAACCCAACCAACACTAACAACAACAAAGTGTCATGTCCCAAAGTGGACAAAAAGGCCTTAATGACTGAGCAGCCTCACTCACAGTCCCCATACACAAACACAAAGAGCCCCAGAGCTCTATACAAGCTCAGACTTGGACCCTCAGTCCTGGTCTGTGCCATGCTGCAGGAGCACTGGTCTCCATCTCAGCCAGAGGTGTGCTGGGCCACAGACTTGCTTCTCAGCTTGTCCTCAGGACAGCTTCATCATGACGTACCTACGTGGCAATCTCTGGACCTGATCCTCCCTGGCAGACTGACTTCCTGGCTTGATCTCAGACCCGCCCCATCACCACACACTTGCCTGACACACTGGGGTCTGGGCTGAATCTCATCCCCAAACCCCACTTGCTTTCCTCAGTCACTGTGAGGCCATGGTCAGGAAACTGCCAGCCTGACTATTAGAGATTTCAATTGTCTCTGAGGTCTTTCTTAACCATTCATGTTTCTACCAAACTGCTGGAAAACGTGTATTTAGTTCCATGTTAAAGAACTGGGTATGAGAAACAGCAAAGGATTATTTCTTCAGAGTTTAACAGAAGTGAAGGAAACACTGCAGAGTGAGAATAGAGACACAAGACCATCTCCCTGGCCACCTGGAGCCAACACTGTGTGACACATTTTTTCCAAGAGCTGTTTATAATCGTAACATAGCAAAGGTTGGAGATTCTCTAGTCCAACTTCCTCCACTCAAACAGAGCAATTTGCTTGGCCCTGTCCAGTCAGGTTTTGAGCAAGACCATGATTCCACAAACTCTCTAGGCAACCTGCCCTAGTGCTCAACTATCCATACAGTACACTTTTTTTTCCTTATTTTAAATGGATTTTCTCTGGTCCTGTCCTGGGAACTACTGGATCATGTCTTTCTTACAACCTCCCATGAAATGCTTATACACATTGATATGACCCCACTGAGCATTCTTTTCTCAAGAGTAAATCCCAGTTCTCCCAGGTCACCATATATGCTCCAGTATGGCCGTATCTGTCTAGGCCCGGTGAGCTCAGGACTGGGCACAATACTCCAGACATGTCTCACCAGTGATGAGCAGAGGGGCAGAACCCTCTCCCTCAACCTGCTGGCAGTGCTTTCCTAATCCTGTCAAGGAGGCTGCTGCTTGGCTTTGTTACCAAAGCACACTGATGGTTTACGGTCAATCTGTCCCCCACTAGCCCCACAAGTCCTGCTCTGTCCCACAGCTGACCCCAGCCTGTGCTGGATCATGGGATTATTCCCCTCAGGTGCAGGACTTTGCCCATCCCTTTTAACTTCCTGAGTCCCCTGGAGTTGGCCCATTTCTACACCCTCTCAAGGTCCCCAGCACATCAACTCCTCCTTCATGTTTTCTATCACCTGTAACTTGCCATGATGCCATTAATGAAGATGCTGAACAATACTGGCACAAGGTATCAAGGCTTGAATTACTCCAGTAGCAACTGTTTTTCAGCTGGACTTTGTGCTGCTGCTCACAGCCCTTTCAGGACAGCAGTGAAGCCAGTTCTTGGCCAACTTCACTTACCTACCAATCTAGTTTGTCCTTTGTTAACCTATTAAGACATTATGGGAGTCAGGTGTCTGCTGTGGAAAGCCTTAATAAATTTGAGACAAACAACACCCCTGGCACTCACCCTGTGAGCCAATCATTTTGTTGTAGATCAGGTGGATAAAGCATAAATTCCCCTTTGTTAATCAATACTAACTATTCCCAACTATCATCTTGTACCTCATGCTTGAAATGGCATCTTTCCCAGGATGAAGGTGAGACTGACTGGTCTGCAGTTCCTCAAGTTCTGTTTCTTATCTTTCTGAATGACTGGAGCGACATTTGCTTTCCTCCAGTCCTCAGGAACCTTTGCCAATTGCCATGACCTTTCAAAGACAGAGTGGCCTTGCAATGACACTGGCCAGCTCCCACAGCACTTGTGGGTACATGCCAGCAGGTCCCATGGACTTGTGTCTGTCTAACCTCCATGTCTAACATGTTCCTTAACCTGATTTTCCTACACTGAAGGCAAGTAGTCCTTGCTCCAAACATTACTACTGTCTCCCAGGACCTGGCATTCCTGAAAGTAAATCTCCCCAGGAAAGACAAAGGCAGAGAAAGCCTTGAGTATCTTGGCCTCTTCTGCGTCCTTTGTCTCCAGGCCCTTTACCCTGTTCAGCAAACACCTTACATTTTCCTAGTCTTTCTTCTACTGTCCATATGCCTGTACAAGTCCTTTCTGCTCTTCATATCCCTTGTCAAATTCAACTCCAGATGGTCTTTGGCTTTAACTGCACCCCCTTCATGGCTGGACAGTGTTTCTATACTCCTGAGGCAACCCGGCCCTGCTTCCACTTCTTGCAGATCTCTTACTGTGTTTGAATTTCAAACAGGAGAACTCTCATGACAATTCCTCATGACACAAAATATTCAAGTTCTGCAGATGTTGTCCCTACTCTTCAGGTGGTCCTTAATACCACAGTAAAGCTTAAAGATGCCACTTAATGTTGGAGTTACTACCTTTTAGGTGAGAGAGAAGCCCTTGTCCCTTGAGGTCATAAATCATCCACTCACGTTTAACAACAGGGATATCAATTCCAGTCTCAAGGCATACATCAGTAATTGTATGGTTGTTCACATTTCCCTGAAGTTTTCAGCTTAAAATTCTACTAAAGCTCCAAAAAGGACCAGAACCTTACTTGGCCAGAGAGTAAAAATTAATAATCCAGATCCTTACATAACGAAACAATTTCAAAGTATATTTGGAGATGAAGATTTACAGAGATTTATATTAAGATTCAGTATCAACCAGTTAAAGGTTTAGGATAAAATGAATTTGTAGAGAAAGAATACCAACCATATATTTATCAAGTAAGATAATTCAACTCACCTCTTCCTTTTGAAAGGTGACTTTGGCATGTCAGCCACAGGGATCATCTGTTCTCCTGGACGTACCCACATAATGGGACCATCATCACTGTCTTTACGACTCTCTAATTTTAAACTAGAAAGTGTTCCCCATGGCAGCGTACACTAATGGGAAATACAAGCCACAATTTTGAAGTGAGTCACTTTAAAAACTTTTTAAAAGCAGCCGTTATCTGTCACGATGAAAACATTTATGAGAACACTCAGTTATCTAAGCAAGTATCACACAGTCTCACTTTTATAACAGCACTAGACAGCGTATTGTCCCCCTTCTCCCAACCCATTCCCTTCTGTCCTTACTTTTAAGAAGGGTGATTCTTCCAACATATCAAGGAATTCAGGGAAGTAATCCCCCACTTCCTCATCAACTGCTCCAACCAGGCTGATCTGTCTCATTGGGCCAGCTCTATATGTACCATGAGAGTATGTTCTTTTTACCTACAAGTAGAATATGACAACAGAAGTTATACCACTACTGTGCAAATCTACATTCAATAAACACCTTCAATATCTATGCTTATGTTTGTTTTCTACTGACATCAGTCTTCAGTATACTTAAGATTATTATGAAGTCAATTACTATGAACTCAAAGACAGAAATTCTCCTTAAACATCTACGACATCTTGTATTTTATTTTAAAACCTGAAGATAAACCAGAGTAATTATTTATTGTTTCTCAAGAAAATAACACTCCAAAACAGTAACTGTGAAAAGCTATCAATGTATGTTCTGCTCAGTAACTAATACATAAGGATTCTTACCTGGATTATTCAAGTCTAGCTGAATTTTTACCTTTTTGTTGTAACAGGTAGAACTCTGAGTTACAACTAATTTTACTCTAAATACTTCCTCTGCTAATCATGCTCTCCAGTATGGCCTCTGTGTGAGCACATTAACTGGAGCTCATTATCACAGTAAAGACAAGGTTCATAAAGAGTTCGTATGGGAAGAGAGACAATGATGGTCATTTCCTCATTTTTGCTGTGCTAACACATCTTGTGCTCCCTTCAAACTTTAAGGGCTGTAACATTCACCTCTCATGAGAAATCTTCTACTGTGAATTTGAACAGAAACACATATTATTGTGAAGTTTTTTTCAACAATCTGATCTGTTCTGTTAGATCACCAAAATACTTAGGCATGAGATTGATGAGAATTATGTCCCCCTAAGCTTCTTATCTCCTATTTAACAGGCTGAAAGCCACAGTGGTGTAATGAGGTGAAATATGATGAGATCAAAACAGAGGGAAGAGTGGATGGACTACTGCACACACCAAGTAAGGCTCCTGTACTGCATCTCTAGACATTCTGCATCCAAAGCAAGAAAAGAAAAAAAGTGCAAAGAAAACAGCTAATGAAATACTGTTTAGCTATGGTCCTCACCCAGACAGACCATTAAAATTCCTAGTAGTTACAGCAGTGCAAAGGAGAATCAGCAGCAGTTCCTGAAAATAAGACTAAATCATGGAACACGGAACAACACTGTGCTCTCCTGAGAAGCTCAACTGATGTAAGCAGATGCATCCCAGAAATGCAGAAGCAAATACTTTTCAGATCATCTCAGTCATGTCACACACCCAGGAAATGGAGGAGTACTAAAAGTAGGATTTTACAAAATGTCTGAGCTAATGCTCACCACAGACATCACAAGCCATCACAGCCACATGGAAAAAAGCAGTCCTGCTAGACATCAGTATTCCCGTATTCCCCAAATCCTTAGTCATACATTCCTGCAGCTTTTTTTGCACAGACAGCTGGTGATTTTGTGATAAAGCATCAGAAAACATTCATTTCTGCTGAATCTGCATCAGCTCAGTCCTCAGCTACATCTGCACTGGTACAAAGCATCAGGAGCATCAGGAGCTCAAAGCACGGGGCAAGGAAGGGACACTCATTTGTCATTACTGGCTTACGGGATAGACCAGTTCCGAAGAACCCTAAACCTATTTTCTGAAGCTACAGTCAGTCACAGATCTGTGACATTTGATTAAAAAAACTTAAATGCAAAAGGATGTTTCTTCCACTGGCATAAATAGCTTAGTATTCCACCATTCCAGGCCAGGATATTAAACTGCTGTTTTCATCTATACCCTTGATTAACGAGAACCATTTTTCTGCCTTTTTCCATGCTTCCTTCTGCTACCACTACCATTCTCCCACGTAACAAGTGATCAGATGAGAGGAAATGGTTTGAAGTTGTGCGGGGGGGGTTAGTGGATATTAGGAAAAATCTCTTCACCAAAAGGGCTCTCAAGCACTGGAACAGGCTGCCCAGGGAAATGGTTGAGTCACCATCCTTAGAGATATTTAAAAGATGTGTAGATGTGGCATTTAAGTACATGGTTTAGTGGTAGATTTGGCAGTGCTGGGTTAACAGTTGGACTCTTAGAAAGGTCCTAAAGGTCTTTTCCAACCTAAATAATTGTACGATTCATGTAGCATATGATAAACTAGTTGTGAAACTACTCCAAGTGAAAACTCTAAAAATTCTCCAAAAAATACTAACTTAAGTGAAATTTGGAAAAACTGTGAAGCTTCCAGCTATCAACTCACCAATCTGGCTTATGTACCACTAGATGTTGGCAATGAAGCATAAAGTCAGCAAAGTATTTAAACCCAGCATGCTTGCTTAAGGTGGATCAATTAAGAACTTTCTTACCTATGCCCCAAAAAAGACCATGCCACTGAAAGTTAGAACTGAAAGATCAACTCAACTTTTTTAAGGATTATTTGTCCATCCCCTTTCACTCCTAGCTCTCCCTGATCAACTATACTTCCTTCATTCCCCAGGCACTCCAATTGCTTTTCAAGACCTACCTTAGGAGAGGTGAAATACCAAAATTAATGCTAAGATAATGTCAAAGTTACAAATGATGAGTGGTTTCTTCTGGGACCATGTTCAGAGTTGTACCATTACAAATACAGACTGAAATGTCTGAGCGCTCAAGAACTCTGTGGTGGCTTAACCCCAAGCAGTGCATACTGATCTTACAGTCCCCTGCTCACACACTGCCTGCAATGGTGAGACATGGGAGAGAGCAGAAAGAGCAAGGAAATGCAGGGGTCCAGATAAAGACAGTTTATCAAGAGAAGAAAAGAGGAAAGTGAAGAGGAAAAAAACACCCAGTGGTGTTTTTCACCACTCGCTAACTCTCACAAGCAGACTGATGCCCAGCAGTCCCTGGGCAATAGGTACCTTCCAGCCAATATTCCCCCCCTCAGCCCCTCAGTTTTGTATTGCTGAGCATGGTGTTATGTTGCATGGAATATCCCTGCAGTCAATCTGGACCAGCTGTCCCAGCCATGCCCCCCTCCCAGCTTCTTGCCCACCCAAGCCTACAACTAGGGGGTCCTGAAAGCCTTAACACTGTGCAAATGATGCTCAGCAATAGCCAAAACACCAGTGTCTTATCAACAGTTTTAGTCATAAACCCAAAACAGCCCCATGATAGGCTGCTACAAACTCTGCCCCACCCAGACCCAGTATGAACAAGAAATAAATCCATGCTGGTGATCAAAGGAGGAGACTTGCTCTCTTTTCTTTCCTGCTAGCATTAGGTCTTCTGAAGACAGACAGGGAGCAAGCTTAGGGAAGTGATCTGAATTTAATCCAGGAATTACCCAAAGAATTTATTTACTTTAGAATATTATAAAAATTAAATAAAGACATGGGCCATAAATACTAATGCCTGGCCAGAAAGAACAAGAGGGAATCTGAAAGAGGAGGCAGCTGTAGGCAGAGAAAAGCAACTCCCATTTCATCTCGTGCATGGACTGGGTTGAAGCATCCTGAACTCTAGTCTAGTTAGACTACGTTAAAGAACTAGATAAACATATATAAAAAGGTGAGGTCATTCTTAGAAGGCAGAACTAGCTAATTTTCACTCACTCCCAAATTAGCTGCTTCTAAATAATAAGTGTGAAAACACCAAAAACCTCCCATTGATGTTTGATCAACGACAAATGTAAAATTAATCCCTATAAAGACAACCACTAAATAAATATAATCTATGGCATATTAGATAACAGCAATGTTTTCTTTTACTGTCAGTGTCCTTTGGTTGATTTGTTCACAGGAACAGAAACAGATTCCTGTATGCATTTCTAAACTCACAAAAACAATACTGATGTACTAAAACTAGTACTTACTTATTGAATTCTACACATTAAATTATGCACTGACCACAAGAGAAGTATTATACACTTTTTATAAGGTAAACTTCCTGGATGTCATTTCACAGGCTACAATGTGACTATGTTACAATGTTACAAATTTGCTCAAATAAATAGCTGAAACAATCTAAATCCAGAATAAAAAAAAAGGAATCCAGGACACACTGCTCTTCTAGCATGTGGTCACAAATGAAAATCCCCAAGTATAATACCATGGACAGGTAAAAGAGATAGAAATATATCAAATAATAAACATGACATTCTAACTTCTTTCTTCTCATACAGCTTAAATTTGAGGTATGTCATCTAAAAAAAGGAGATCGTGTCGCTCTCTTGCATCACAGCAATGGACTAGTGTGGTCTCAACTGATTAATAGCAAATATTCTGACAGAAATGTCTTGATGTCTAACAAGAATCTGAAGACTAAATGTGACTCTACAGATATATAATACTGAAAACAAGATATTCGGGCATTATCATCCTACAAATAAGAAACATTTTAGACATTATATGTTAAAGATGTTTCCATTTTCTGTTTGAAGAAGTCACAAAGTGGAAGGAACAATCCAGAGAAAACAAGCACCTCAAGAGATGAATTTAAAAAACAAACTGGGGCAAGTCACAACTGAATTCCTATTTTTAATATAGTAGGGTTTGGGGGTGTTCTGGTTTGGTTTTTATTTGGTTGTTTTTTTTTTTTCTGTTGAAATTTTATCATTTTCCTGCTAGAATTTTAAAAGGTTTAAATTTATTTCAATTTTTCACCTTTAAAACCAGGAAGGTCTGGCAAAACAGTCCTCAGAGTAAAAAAAACAAAACCAAAACCAAACAACCAAACAAACAAACAAAAAACCAAACCAAAACAAAAAAAACCCACCAAAACTCCCAATTGAATGCAGAGAAACCCACAAAGAAAGTTCCACCAAAGACCAACAAAAAACCCAAACCCATTAAATCACCATGACTATATGCAAGGACATTGAAGGAATAGAGGGTTTCCATTTCACTACACAAGTGCACAAGCAATGCACTTACACATTTGTATCTCAGAATGGAAAATACCCAATTTCACATTCAGCATAATCTCAAACGTTACGGCCATGTAGCATTCTTGCTTATTTGATACATTCTGATCCAGTGCCCAAAAGGCTTCCTGTTCCTTGCCAACTCTTTTCAAATCCTTAATTGATAACATATAGTTTTAATTCCAAATGGGAACCAATACAGAACAAATATTCATCAAAATTGCTCTGATTTTAAAAA